ACATTTTCCTCACCAGTGTCTATGTAGAGGGCGGGCTTTAAATACAAGGGATCCAACCAATTGGCCAAGTACAAGAAGAATTCCATTCGATTGGTCAAATACTTCAAGCTTCTGTGTGATTTAAACACATAAATGCAAACATTTGAACCAACCATTTATGCATTTTATACAGCCTATTGCACAGGCTGTTATAGCCATGACAATAAAATTTTGCTATATTGTGCAGCCCTAATATTCACTTGAACAAGAGAATATTAATGTAGARGTCATTTCCTTTTAAAGTAAAAATCCATGTGCCCACCCCATGGTCACCATGTTGGTGTCAGGTTTATTCATATAGCACATTAAAACAACAAAAGCTGACCAAAGTGCTTTATAGTTCAGTCAAGACTTGTCAAAAGACAAACAAATAATAGATACAAATTCAATACAGAAACACAATATAATGTATAAAAAGCTCTAACTGAACCTCCAACTCGGTCTTAATCAAAAGCCVAAGAAAAGAGATGGGTCTTCAGCAGAGATTTAAAAGCTTCACAATCAAACTAAAGCAACAAAGAACTACAAACAAAATAACGTGCGTAAAATATCACCAAAAAATAAAATCCTAAAGGAATTAGACTAATAATAATTTCAAATGTCAAAAAAAAAGATAAAATAAATATTCTTACCTGCCCTTGGCTCTGTAGAGGAATACAGTAAAAACCGCACTGCCCCATTCATTTAGTTTAGTGTGGGTTTTTGCACAGATTTGTGAGGGCAACAATACCTTCTGATTTCATTTCAATCACCACCACAAGAAAGTTTCAGGATTTTCTTCTTACTTTCAGCATAATTCTGACAAAAACAAAACATAATGGCTGACCAGTAATAAGGAGGCTTTCTGTGTTGACCCCCCACTTCACTAGTAATCCAGACAGTATGTGTGGCTGCTCAGAATGTTTAAGCCCCTCTGTTGCGATTCTGTTTCTACAGGAAAACTTTGAGTTGTACCACGAGACCCTCTACATGGCCGTTAAGGTGACGGACCACTACCTGTCCAAAACCCCCATCCAGAGGGAGATGCTGCAGCTCGTCGGCTCCACGGCCATGCTCCTGGCCTCCAAGTTTGAGGTGACTGGTTTGAATATACGGAAACTACATTTCTATCGTAATAATTGTCAACGTATGACGTTTTTAAATGTTTTTGTGTGATCTTGTAGGAGCGCACCCCGCCTTGTGTCGACGACTTTCTTTACATCTGTGACGATGCGTACAAGAGGGAGGAGCTCATCTCCATGGAGGCCAACATCCTGCAGACGCTGTCGTTCGACATTAACATTCCCGTCCCGTATCGMTTCCTCAGGCGTTATGCCAAGGTGTGTCGGTGTTTCTGTCAGTGCTGGCTCAGGGATGCTTTTTGCTCCTGTAACATTGGTGTTCTGATGGTTTACTTTGGCGTCCTCTGCAGTGCGTGAGTGCTGGGATGGACACTCTGACTCTGGCTCGCTACTATTGTGAGATGAGTCTCATGGAGATGGACCTGGTACCAGAGAGGGGCTCACTGCTGGCCTCAGCCTGCCTGCTGATGGCGCTGGTCACCAAAGACCTGGGAGGATGGGTGAGTTATTCTCCTCCCACATCCTTGTAATCAGACCTCCATATTCAGGGATATTTAAAACGAGCCRCGCTAACACGCACAAACTTCAAATCAGATAAAAAATTGTATATACAGKGTTCCCATGGGTCCTTGAAATCCTTGAAAGTTTGTGAATTTAAAAAAATTATTTCAAGGACCGGGAAAGTTTGTGGAAAACAGCCAAAAATTACGCTTGTCYTTGAAAGTCCTTGAATCTTTGGGGGAGAATTCAAGTTCTCAATTCACACGACTGATTTTCATCATCTGTAAGAAAAATTATAATGAAATAAAAAATAAAAATAAACATTTCTGCGGTGGATAACTCAGGATTACGGTAAACTGACATGGCTTTCAACAAATAACATGAGCCATAGTTTTATCCAATCAGAGCAGAGTAGGGCGGGTCTTTCTTTCTGAGCCCAGTTGAGAACACCACAGCTCCTCCTGGACATGTTCACATCCCCTCCTCCCAAACTGAGCTGCTGAACCTCCCTGGACACAATTACATCTCCATGCATTGTGGACATGAATGTAGGGTAAACATTTAATCCACTTTCTTTCATTGATTCTGACTCAACAGTTTCTGTGCTGTTCAGTTTTTCATTGAATTTGCATGATATTAAACCTGTTTACTGGTAACATTCTGTGGTAGCAGTAGGTAATTGCCGTCGCGCATGGTGCATGAATTTGAGGAAATTGGTACTGGAAAGTCCTGGAAAGGTCCTTGAATTTGATGTTGACCAAGGTGTGGGAACCCTGTATATATTTTCAGAAATGACTGAGTAATATAAATCAGCTTTTTGTATCAGAAACTGTTCAGTTAATATTTTGTTTTGTAACTTTAGCTGAGGGGTGAAAATTCAAGTAATGCTGTCTAGGGCTGCAACAACAAATTGATAAAAATTAATTATTAAAAGCGTTTGCAACAAATTTCATTATTAATTCGTTGTGTCGAGTTATTTATGCGTCCCTCTCCATGTCGCGGAGCCGTTTACGTCACCCGCAGGGCGTTGTCAGTGCTGGCTGACCTACAAAAAGTTTAGGAAGGAAAAAAAAACTACCCGTAAAGATCCGCCCTCTCTGAGACCCTCGAGTGAGAAGTAGAGACTTCGAACTTTAAACCAGTTTTTAAATTATGTTGTTAGGCCAAGTAGATCCGAAGTTATGATAAAAAGTATATGACACATTTAATTTTTTTTAAAAGGCGGTCTGATTTGATGCGAGGAG